CTCTCTCTCTCTCTCTCTCTCTCTCTCTGTCTGTCTGTCTGTCTGTCTGTGAGCGTGAAGCTGCAGCAACTGAAATCACGCCGGAAGTTCGCCGTCTTCTTCGAAGTTCCCTTGGAAACAAAGAATCAACTTGTGTGTTCCTTATTTACGTTATTTCATTTAGCAGAAGCGTAATCCAAAGTGATTTACGAATGAGGAAATCACACACACAAGCGACTAAATAAGCTAATAATGTTAATAATGCAGTGCTACACTGCATAATTTCAGACTGAGGTCAATAACAATAAAGGACCACGATATTACCATGTTTTGATACCTAGCATAGTAATTGTATTGTTATGTAGTCCATATTAAATAACATTTTGTGTTGAGATTTAATGCGTAAAAGGATTTTATTTCACAAAATGCTGTAACTAGTGAAGAGTTGAAAACAGACGCCAATTAGATCTATCTATCTGTCTGTCTGTCTGTCTGTCTATCTGTCTATCTGTCTGTCTATCTGTCTGTCTGTCTGTCTGTCTGTCTGTCTGTCTGTCTATCTATCTGCATTCACAGTTGTCTGTCTGTCTGTCTGTCTATCTATCTGCATTCACAGTTCATGATTTAGCATATTTTATTCGAAATAACTTAAAACAAAAACATAAATAAAACTTTGTTTATAGACAAAAATGTTTGCCAAATTATAAACAAGGACTGAATTTTTCATTAAAGATAGTAGAATTCATTGTCATGTCAAATTCGCACGTACATAACTGTTGAGTAAAGGTTTTACCGAAACATCCAATATTTAATTATTTTGAGTGGAAAAGCTCAAAGCTTAAAAAATTATACAGTTAAAAAATGTAATATAAAACTATTTTTACAGTCTCCCACTGGGTGGCGAGCGCACATCTTTTGCTAACGGCCGAGGTGAATATATGAAATACAGAAATAGAAATAGAAATATAAAGAAAATGCGGATACAAATCTGAGAATGTGCGGATACAAATCTGAGAATGTACGAAGTGGGCGGAGCTTGGTGTGTCGTAAAGAATGATTGGACCACACAGCGCTCCCTTACGTGCTTACGTGAGTTTACCACCATGTCTAACAGCAGTTTCCATTCTAGCTAGTTTCACTTTCACAAGTGCCGGCAGGAAAAGCGAGCCGCAGAAGAAGAGCTCCACTCCACTCAGTTTGTTTACATCAGCAGGAGGTGACAGAACAGAGGCAGTTCTGACAGTATGGCTCAAACTTTCAGTCTATGACTTAGTATGATTTATACCATCGACTGACCGGGAGCCATGGGCGCGTTAGCTTGTCTTTCTGTGCTGTGCTGGCTGTGGCTTTGCCCGCT